CAGTGTGCCTCAAATTTGTGGTACATCGAACGATTTGACCTCTGACTTCCGATTACAAAAGTATATGCACAATTCGGTCTACTGAATCAACTACATGTCATTGGATTACAGAATCTCATCAGGTAAGATTCCTTCAAAGTCTTCTCCAGAGGTAACAAATATGTTAACACCAAGGGGTCGGGAAATAGGCTTTTAGACTCTTCAAAACAAAAGGATTCAATGAGAGGTTCGTTTAAAAAAGGGCGAGGGAGTCTTGCATTACTACCAATCACCTGATTTGAAGCATCCAAGCCCATCTCTTTGTACAGTTAGAGGCAAGAATAAAAAGTGAATGCCAGTGCCCCGGACTAAAGCCTCTGGATCAAACGCCTAGCGGTGACGTCAGGCCACCACAGCACTCCGTCATTCAGAAACTAGTTGACAAAATTGTCCTCAGATATGTACTCATTGGCCATTGATTGACATGAAGGGCTCTGTGTCAGATGTACACTTTCCAGCATAGCCCACAGTGTTGAGGATGTACGGGAACCGTCGCACTGCTGTAAGGCCCAGTTTCGTTTCAAGGGAAGCATGAAACCACGCTGTAATAATCAAATAATGTGTAATCCGAAGCAGTCTGACGCGCAAAAAGCAAGAAACTGAGCTGAGATACAGAACTGGGAGAAGGATGAATGAGTCACTACTACATGTGAGAATCAGTGATGTTTCGTGATTATTCGGAACCTGAAAAAACCTCATAAGCCAATGCAAGACCAAGCGGCTACCTATGTGCATCGTTTTCACGTGATATAACTGAATGTATAGCGATTCGCACAAAAATTGTTTCTCTTGGTTCAAAACTCTGTGAAAGTTTGACATCCTAGATAATCAGTTCACATGGTGAGATGCCAAGTCAGGGGTACGTGTATCTGGTAGTGGACTTCCATCATGTGATATCTCTCTGAGGCAATTAGGTGTGTATGAAATATGTACAAAGCATGGTACGTGGCCAAATTAGAAGAAACACCAAACGAGATACAGGAAAATGATCATGATCGTATGTCGGTAGCTATGCTCATCCATTGGGCAGTCGTGAAAGATCTTGGTAAATGAGGGTCCCAGCGACCGAGGAAGTCGAACACAGTACCCACTTGCCGTCTAATCGTCGGGCGGACAGGCACGTGACATACCCTGTACTGTCGGACCGGTACCTGGATAATTTCCACCGGGAACGAAATATTCCGGGTCATAGGCATCGTATTCCTCTCCAATACGTACCGTCGGCCTCGATGGGACAACACCATATCTCTGTGTACCATCCATGGTTACCAGTGCAGGACGTTCGAGGGAAGACCCATCACCGTTCCTGGCATTCCACTCACCACCCGTTGCCATATCGCCATCGTGCATTTTCCGATCTCGTACCTTACGTCTCCGCCTACCGCCCACAGTGGATTGAAGGGCACGAACTTTGGCCTCTGCTTCGCGACGTACACGTTCCAACTCGGCTTCTCGTTGTTTCGCCTGACGAGCAGACCGACTCTGGTAGACTACAAGGTCGAATCGACAGTGAAAAGTGAGTAAATCAATCTAGAACCATTATAAATTAAAGATACACGTACAAAATCTTATCCCGTACTGTCTCAGGTTTGTTGAGATCTCCACTCTTTCTGATTGAAACAAAGCTGAGTTCAAGTGAAACAGTAGTAAACCTTGATGACAGGCTTGCCTTCAAAATCGACTTCGTTCATAGACAATAACGTGGTAGGCGCTTAAAAATACGTTACACAATAGAATAAAAAGATTGGGAATCTGCTGGTCAGAAGAACCAAACAAGCTTAAACATAACAAAGTGATGAGAGATTGGGTACCGACAAATTGGTACGTTGCAGAGCTTTGTTACGCTCGCTGATCGTTGCGTTCTCCTGGTTGCTGGGTAACTAGAAGTGCGTCTCATGAAACGCTATGAATTATAAACATTTACCCAAGCATTGGTAGGGTTTGGTGGGAATATTGGTTTAGCAATGTTGAGGTACGCCAGATGGTACTGGGAAGAAAGAAGTCTTGCGTGATGGGTGAATCACCCACGCTTTATAGGTTACTCTGATTCAGATATGTGCTCCACATGCCAGAAGACCGTTTCGCTCGCATGGCTCTCGCGTAGCCCTGTACTGAGTAAAAGTGACCGAGAGAGGAACCGTGTATGATCCGGCAACGAATTACGAAAACACCAACCGGTAAACTGAGTCGGGTCGACAGCTGTCACCTACTTGGAAACAGACCCCGATACGCAACTCACCAGTGTTCAGTGACGCTGGCAGTTGGTGGCGCATGCGCTATCGCCTTCAATTCATAGCTACACGGTTTCCGAACTAAGCAAACATGTCGTTGCCTGTAAGGCTTGGTTGTATGTCCCACAGTCCCCCGTTTTCCGGTGATCGAAACTGTGCCAGCTGGAACGAATGTGCCTGTGGTACACAGTTTATGGCTGATGAACTGACCGACTGGTTAACTAATTTTTCGTAACCTCACTGCGTGCACACAAGAAGCCTCAGTCTGACGAACCCTTCTGTAAAAGACTCCTTCCTCATTTACAAGGACGTTGGTTTTGCGAAACACATAGCCGTATATTCGTGCACCGGTAAAACCTATCCAACATCTTTAACTACCATGCAATCGAACTTTTTCGGCCAAACAGTCACCATGGGTAGCAAAGGACAACTAATATGCTTAATCCCGACTGACATTTACTGACTGAAAATAAATGAATGTTGAGCTTGTACAGGTTACTACCTTGAAGGTAGACATCGTCATCACCATCATCATCGACAGCATGACATCAGTGTTCAACACCGATGCTTCACTGCCGTACAACCATGATTTATTTGAATACTGTAAGGCGAAGAGTAAAGGTGGGAGGAGAAGTGACTTAATGCTCGCTTAACACAATCATTTCTAGGTGCTTATATCTCCAGACACTCACTCAGGCGATCTGGATAGAAACGGACAACAAGAACGCCACTAACATCAGTTTGCAGCCATAGCTTGTAGTGTCTCCAATCAGGCACAGTGAAGATCACGCGGTCCCCATCTTGGAAGGCGAGTGGCACCAACAGCGCCCAAGCGTTTCGTGATCTCCTTCATACTCCTCTGCCAAGTCAAGGGTTGGCCACCCATTCAGACAATAAATTCATCGAGGAGTATCTTGCGAAGAGCTACCTATCCACAGAATTCCGTGAAAATTCAGCATGGTCTGATTGCTTTAGAGGCAGTAATACTCATCAGAGGGAAAACCTATTTGTGTCGGGACTCTCACTTGAACGCGAAGCGATTTCTTACGGAAGAACTACCTCACTTTGAAAAAATTATCCAGAGGTATTACTCCTCCTTACTGTGTCTTTTTGAGGGGTTCAAAGTTCTTTTGCCCCGCAAACGCATTGTGTGTCAACTGGCCTGATCCTACGAAATGTCAGAAAAGTCCGAAATTTACGCCAATAGCAGTGCATGTTCCGAATCCACGTCACGTGCTGTCGGGTTGGAAAGACTTTTAACCTTTCTGACCTTTTTTGATTGTTTTACTGAATCAACAGAATAATTGGGACTATTCCCCACCCTTGACAGAATGCAGCTGGTCCCCGATATTTCGGCTTTTTCATACACTGAAGCGTTTTGAAAATCTGAGTGTCGTTCATAAACGGAATCGGTTGTGTGATCCTTCTACCGACGGCCCTGTGCTGACGATCACCAAACGGCAGTCTGAAATGCCTGGATAAGGATTAGGGTGATCGGCAAAAAGCCATCTGGCGGGTATGGCTAAACTTCTCGGTATCGTCATCGAGTCAAGATTCTAAGTGAACGTCTCGGTAATTATGAGGCCAAACAGAAAGAACTGAACAGTCATTATCATCATCCGCTGTAAGAACCGCGTACTTGTCGTACAGTGAGTATAGCTGCCACAGTTTCGTTCATTGACGATTTGGGGTGGTGGGGCAGGTAGCTGCACATTGGAGGTGGGAGCTGATATAATTGGTAGACTGGGAAGGGGCTAATTGGTAAACGGGAAGGGGCTATGCATTGAAGGCAGCGGCTGGGAGGCACCAGCATCATTTAGGGTCCGACTGCGCCATGTCTGACAATGTCTTTATCCAATGATGTGTCCCGTCTCCGGGTCCCCATTCGAGGAGACGGCAATGACCAGTGCGGCTGGATTCGCCAGTAATGGCTTTCACACTCCACTGTTAAGTGACTGTTCGACCTTTCCTGGCTCATTTTCACCCTTCGCGTGTGCATGTGAAAATAACCCTTCGATCGGTCAACTAGCATTCGGAGCATGTGGTCAGGCCAGCACAAACCATGGATGTGATCATTTCATCTATCCTAAGTGAGTTACTTCGTCCGAAAACCATTTTACACACGTCAGCATTGCCGATCCAGGTGCTGTTCGCACCAGGTCACCATGAGCGAAAAGACCCACTGAATTGTGCAACCTGGTCAATATTTACATGCTGCCATGCTCACTGAAGCCATTTAACAAAACGCCACGCATCGAATAATTCCAATCCACCAAAGAAGTCAGACGACCTCGAGTGGTTGGGCTTTTCTGGAGGCGTGCATTTCTGAAAAAAAACAGGGTTAAAATCCCAAGCAGATGGACGGGAAATAGCAGGGACACCGTGACGATACGTAATCAATTAGGCAGCGTTGTTTCCCGATGTTTGGTCATATTTACTTGGTTTTTTAAGCGTGTATTTGAAAGTTTGGCTTTTATAAAGTCAGCGAAAAAATTTATCGGAACTAGATTGACCTTCAGAGCTAGACCAGTGTGCTCCTAACTGCTGCTGTTTACTAACAGAATAAATTTTACAAACCCAGTGGAGAACCCACTGGAGTATCACCATCGCATTTACTATCGACCGAGGTGTATACTTTCCCATTTGAACGAAGAGTGCATAATTTAAGGAAACGCTGTTTTTGAATCGTCCCAAGCACATCTAGCCAGATTATCACAAAAGATTATTTGCAGGTAATCCAACAGTTGGATCGGGGCAAGATGGCCCAAGTCGTTAGAGCGCGAATTTTCTGACCGGAAGGTCCGTGGTTCGAACCCAAACTCTACCTCTCGACTTCCACTGTCTAGGCTTGGGCAACCTGACAGTATCCCAGCCCTCGTGCAACCTTCGGGTGGCATGGCAGTTAGGCACCTAAAGGAGGCCACAGCTGAAAGAATCCAAAAATTTATGATTAATCTGCACACCCTACTGCTTAAGTTAGGAGTTTGAAATATGGTCCAAAGAACAATTCGGCATACTGAGCATTCTATGACAGGATAGATAGATGAAGAGGATGAGGATCGATGGATGAACTGATCACACTGCACAGGTTGCGTTGGCTTGGCCACGTGCTGCGTATGCCAGTCGACCGACTTCCTCGAAGGGCTCTTTTCGCCCAACCGTGTGAAGGGTAGAAGAGAGCCAGAGGCGGTCAAACAATGACTTGGCAGCGAAGTATGAAGGCCATTACCAGCAAACTCAGCTGCGCTGGTCACTGCCGTCTTCCTGGATGGGGACCCCGCGACGGGCCACATCAATGGCTAGAGACATTGTCAGATATGACCCAGTCGCGCCCTCAATGGCACTCGTACCCGCTTGACAACCCACTGACAGTGCTGGATTTATGCACCAATTTACCAGCTTGCGCGTGCAATGCGCAGCTACCTACCCCCTCCCCCAAATCATCGGTGAACGAAACTGTGTCAGCTACAACCAGTGTACGACCAGTACGCGGTTCTTACAGCTGACAATGATGATAATGATGATGACAGTGGCTTTGGTGAGAAACAACCTTACCGTGTGTACCGTCCGTACACTCCACCTGGTGAATACCCAGATCTTTCAAAGGAGGCGGTCTGACTGCAGCGGCTGCAGCGGCCGCAGCAACTGTCGGTGATGGCGTGGGATTCTTTGCTAGCGGACCATTGTGCCGGATCCCAGTTCCCTGGAACAGCGCAGCATTTATCGTGGCCGCAACACCACTGGCTAGACCCATCGCAAGTCCAGGACCACTTCTGTTCCCCGCATTCCAATGAGCTTCTCGATCCGAGGTCTCTGTAGAACGCTTCTCATGGTGAATCTGCGTTGAAGCTTGGTCATTGTGTCCTTTTGGTACCAAACCAGCTGTCATTGCAGCCACGGCAGCCGCGTGGGCGGCTCCAACCTGGAGTCGGTTCTGTCTATTAAGAGAACGTGATCCATAGCGTGGCGAATCGTCGTAGGTTTGTGCCCCGTCCATATCCCCTTCGCCTAATGACTGATGCCCGTACTCTTCTGCGTCACCTTCCGCTCCTTTGTTGCCTTGCACTCCACGCCCCATCCCATGAGCATCTCCTCCCAAACTTCCACCATATCGAACACCGGTGAGTCCGAGCTCGTTCTCTGCTGGTATACCGGATTCCGTGGCCCAACCGGCTGCCCGAGCACCGGTCAAAGCACTAACCTCCTGGCTGGTAAACCCTGCGTCAAGAGCCGACTGAAGGAAAATGGGTGGAATGCAAGCGTCAAAACTACGATTATTATTTAGTACGGATGGTGAACAGTGGACTCAAGGTGCCTCACATTGCACTGTCTAAAGTTTTTAATTCCCTAAATATGATTCCATAAATATATAAAGGATGACAACAAGTTAAATGAATAGGAACTTTAGTCGCCAAGTACATATATATATGATGATTTATGAGACAATGACTAGGGTTGTTGTGCGCGAACGAACCATACCCTCGTGTAACTGTATTATGGGTTAGTGTCCCGTTTGTGAAAGCTGGAAGCATGAATTGGCAGTGAAAACAGTATAAACCAGTCGAGAGTCTAAATGTCTCATATATGTGATCAGCACTCACCTTGGTCACCACACTAAGCCCAGGATGGCCTGGAGTCATTGGTACCAGTGGACGGTCGGAATCCGGTTCAATCGGGTCCGCGCCCAAGATACGTTCTGCTTTGGACTGTTCTGAGATTGGATGTGTGGCTGCCCAGTAGCCCTCAAGAAATTGACGAAGAGCATCTGTTGCTGCGCCAAGTGTATTCTGGTCCACAACGAATTCGAAGGCATCCTGTGGATGTATATGGACAGCAAGAAGCTTGCAATTATTTGACTGAGAAAAAAAACCGATTCTGACTGCACGAAATGCACTTTTCGGAAGTCTGGCCATATGGTGTATGGTGACAATAATGTGGATTGAAATAAACTCAGAGAAGACAGGCCGCAGACCGCGACTGTATTTAATTCACAGTTAACAAAAAAGATTCTGGCTGAATTTTGGTGATAAACGAAAAGCTGCGAAGAAATTAAGAAAGTGAGAGGTTTGCGAGTTGAAATTGTTACGTCCGAAACCACTTTACATTTGTTTCATTCTCACTGGGAACTAACAGAAATACGAATCTCACGAACCTCCAGAGAAATCTGAGCGTGCAGCTTCATGCGTTATGCCAAGAACAGCTGATCACCAGTGTGATTAACTCGGAAAATGAGTCTCCCAGCTGACAAGTTATCACTCGCGAAGCTAGCCAGCACCAGAACGGACGAAGGCAACCTATTAATTAAAGGTTGAATGCCCACAAACCTCGTCTTATTGCGAAGGCCAGTCGTTCATGACAGAAGGTTTAGACATTCAACTGCTTACTGAGATTGCGCGAATTCGAGTCTCCCAAGAGATTCGCAAAACACCAACTGTTATTGCTTTCCAATGAGCACCAAGCAACTTTTCAAGGCTTCTAGACCTCTAGCTACATACAGATTTTGTTTACAGGGCAAAATCTCTATTGAGGATTTTCAGATCTTTTCGAAGAATGAACTCGAACCAAATAAACTGGTCCAATTTTCGGCAGGTAGATGAAATGAACATCGTTTTCATGTGAGGTTTGTGGGAATTGTTCCACTCTAGTTTAGAAGAAGACAGAAACCAATGACCATATCAGGCTTGGCTAACTTGATTCTATGGGATGCAGCAGTTTTCGACTACTCGCGCAACGAAAGCACCTCACCAGATGGGCTCACTGTCGCTACGCTCCTTCAGAATCATCCCCAATTCCCACGACCCAGGTGCTTATTGGCTGCCGTGAAACAGAGCATGCGCTATCCGAAGCATTTCACCTCGAGACTTGACGCACAAATAACTGAGGGACTGAAATGGTCAATGGCACGGAAAGCAAGGCCTGCAAGTCTGAATCTCACAACCGATTTCTCGTATCGCCTCGTTCCTGGTTTTCAAAAGCCTTTCCAGTATAATGAACTACAAGCCGGAGGCTATGATCAAACATCGGGAAGTTCCTGTTAGAGTTGTCTAGGCACGACCTCTTCTGATCCACCTGATAATTCTAGTCGTCCTATACAGATATATCCCGCTGCAAAATTTAACGCACAGGCACCCATGTATTACAGTTCTGGTGGTAACGGACTTGCTGCTTTCTGTGTGGCTGTTCCTCTTAGACTATCCTGAGACTCTAAACAATGCTGCATGGACGTCTAGCAACTGTATTCCACAGTACAAAACTCCTTCTATGGTCACAAGCGGACAGCTGTTAATGGATTCTAGTGGTGCTGAGTATTGTTTATCTGCTTAGCAAAGGATTCCCTGAGGTCTGATTTAACCGCAACAGTCATAGTAGTTTGACCGCCTTCCGGCCGTGTTCGTGTAAAAAAAACCTGCTCCTGATGGAAATGGTACTGGGATATAATTTGAAGGCCACTCTTTATTCCTATGCAAAGTAGAAGACGTCAAACGAAATCCATCATGAATGGAGGACGCGAAAGTCAACTAAGAAATGATTCCAAAGTCAAGGTTATTCCACAACTAAACTCACCGGAGGACATTGAAGTAGCTTTTCCGCTGCGGCAGTCTGAACGCCGGCGTTCTTCTTCTGCTCCTTGCCTCGATTTTTAATTAATCGATTGAGTACTCGAATACTGTTTATTTTAATATAGATCACTATCGGAGCCAAGCATGTCTTTGAAATTTGACTCGGATGATTGATGGTGTCACAGTCGAGCAGAAGCAGTTGCATTTTGCTTGCCAAATGGAAGATGCGTTCGAGGTCCTGTTGAACTTCCACTTAAGTGGAAACGGAAACGAGAAAGATTATAGGCCTATGCCCCTTCAATGTGAATTTTAATCAATCATTTAATCAATTAATCATGTCCCGGCGTAATACAGTGTTGCATATTCACACAGCTTTAACTAACGTTCGTTTAAGGAAAATTCAACATGATCAACATCTTCTGGAAATACGAACTGCTAACTACCAATGATGATTGCTTTGCACCTACCATCTGGTTCTTTGTCGTTCAGATACGCGTAATAAATCTTGGTGTGGCGTTCGTTTAAGACAGCACTTTTTACGCAACAATCATAAAGGATACGCAGTAGATCAAGCTAGTAGCTCACAAATTCCTGCCTTATGACTTCTGTGCTGGACGAGCCGTTGCCTGATATCTCTCACGAAGTTGGGATAAACCACTGTTCAAAACATAGAATCAGACAGATTAACATCACAGAACCACGCATCGTTTTCCAGTAAAATCGTGTTACTGATATCCCCGTCAGTAGTAAGAAATATTTGGCTTACAAAGAGTAACCAGATGGCGACCCCTGCCGCGTTCCATGACATTCTTCTTGTCCAAGTGGAGTAGAGCACCAACACGTTTGGCCAGGGAGATATTCGTGCTTACACGACTAACGATTATTCTGAAAATTGTACGGAAGAAAAAATTGACAAAGTTCAGGTGACTGTTATGCATAGCTTTAATGAATTATAGGGGGAAATTTTTAAAACAAATCACCTGTCATCTAAGTTAATAAAGTTGACCGTAGAAATAAGTTTTGCAAGCTAGAAATCTAGTGAGGATTAAAGTAGAGTTGATCGAACCTGTCAAGGGGTCTAAATTATCCGTGTAGCTAATAAACGGAAGTAAGCCCACATCCAAATGCGACGTGTGAGGCACTACCCTGATCTACCCTTCGAAAAAAATCCCCGGTGCCTTGTTCTGGATCACTGATAAAGGGAGCGGGTTAGTACATATGTGAGTTTATAGCTGAAAGGCGGAATTTCTCCTTTCAAGTCACTAAATATTATACGCGAGGCAAACCAGCCGCAAGCAGTTGTCATCTATGTGCTGTAGTGAAACATCAGTGGTCAACCTAGATTTTACTGTCAACCATAGCGATGTTACGCAGTCTGGTATCAATTTTCCGAAGATTTCGTAACTGGTAACTATGCACAATTGTTGGCGACAGCTTCCTCCGCCAGGACGCAAAAATTGGCGCCTGGCCAATCAAAGGGTTGCGCTTATGAGAATAATTCGATTGAAAGCGGACAGTTAAAACGACCCACTAAATATATGGAGATGACTTGAGGCACGAATTCGCTGGTTATTCGGTGGCTGCGTTGGTTTAGAAATGGGCATGGCACTCTTGTGGAACTATTGGCATGCCAAACAATGGCGAACGCGGACCTCGATGGTGGACAACATACATGGTCATTAGCAACCCTAACACGGGAATTCTCGTTGGAAATAGCGGTACTCTTCACTGGGCACTTCGCCGACCCTAACAGCAGGTAGTACGAGCAGCGAACTAAGCAGCACATGCGTGAAAAGTGTACCCATTACATGGAGTATTGTTGTAACTTCTGATGTCTCTTCCAATACTTGGATGGACAGACCAAACGCCGTGGGTCAAATTTGAGGTTTCGCTTATGCGAGAGACTCAGCTGGAAACAAGCTAAATCTCTCGTTTATGATGTTTTTAAGAAAACGAATGTGGTGCACCAGGCCGCCTCATGTTTAAGTTGATAGGACGTTCGAGATATCTGTACGTAATACACTACTCATAAGGTTTCTGAAAATTCTTCGACAGCCCATGGCCGGTTTCGCCCTTTGTGGAGCTCATCAGATAGGCGCAGTCCCCAAATCTTGGGAACATCACAAACGAGATATTTAGCTGGGTTACAGGTGAGTCTCTCGCAAAACAAACTTAGTTTGCAAATAGGTGCAATCCGCTGATTTTGTCCCATTTGGGTTCAAGCAGAACATAAGTTTGACGGAAATTCGGGGACTGCCTCCACCTGATGAGCCCCAAAAAGGGCGAGACCGGTCGTGGGCTGTCGAAGAATTTGCAGCAACTTTGTGAGTAGTGTATTACGTCCATACAAATTTGAGGTTTTCCATGAATAAGCTGCACCATCGTACTTAATTTGCTGTCTCTGATAAGTCGTTTTACTTGCTTAGCAAATAGTAATTTGTTCATTACCACAGGCCATTTAATAACCCATGCGTGCAAAGTGTGTTGACGAGTAACTGTTGCTCTGTATCAGTACAGTGACCCGATTGAATCAACCGGAAGCCGTATCTTGGCTTTGTGATCACCGGTTATCCCGCGCTCATCAAAAAAGTGAACTCTTGAGACGTGGATTCTAGCGTTCACAAGACTTAATTTGCTACGATCAGTACGCTTAAGTTCACTGCAAGAAATCAGACGCTCACGAGTAATAGATGAACTGTTATAATTTATTGTTGCAAGTACACCCTCCCAGGATTTCACACATTTCGTTCTTTGGGTCTACACTCTCCGTGACGGAACCAGTTTATTTCGGGGTCTACACTCTCCGTGACGGAACCAGTTGCTCACCTGCCGTCGAAATGCTTCTTCATGGCATCGAAGATGGCCTTCTGCATCATATCTGTCACTTCGTAACCTTTGAGAGCCGGACCAACGAAAACCACTGGACGCATACACGGGACAACTTCGTAGGGAGCGACGAAATCCGGCTGCATTTTGGATGGAACAAACAGCAGAGTAAGTGCGCATTAGGTTGAATGTTGCATGGTGGTTAGACGGATAATACATAAAAAATTCAACTGGGTATTTGAAGTTCTACTTTGTCCGCGAGGATTCCATAGCAGTGGAAGGCGATCACAAACTGGCATGTTCACTGAAAGGTTTGAAAAATCGGCAATCAACAACCTGCACTCACACAGGGTGTGAAGTTGCAGGCAGTGACCTCAGCTTCAGCCTAATTTTCATTATAAATGATATGCTTCAGCCTGTTCAACGAGAAGAGCGATCGTCGACAAAATGCCGTGCTGAGACCCTTGCTACAACAGAAGGGCGAAACCGGTTGTGGGCTGTCGAAGTTTTCAACAACCTTATGAGTAGTATATTAATCTGGCATCCTTAGGTGGTTACTGTCATTTGACAGTAAACAGCCCCTCCTAAAATGAACGAATAGTGAAATAATAACCTATCTACTTAAGCCAGTAGAAGAAGCGCAGAAAAGTTGACGTTTCAAGTTTGGTGCAAAGACGATTTATTGGATTAAACACGGAAAATAAGGTTTGATTCGAGTGGAAACCAGACGACTCCCCCTGTTTCTTGAATAAGGATCACATCAGACAATTTTTAATCGGTCGAATAATTTACTAAATGACCGGTCAAAAAAGAACTGGACGTCAACTGTGAATTTTCACATCATGCAAGAAAAAACATCTCAAGGAATTTTATGTCAAATTTCCGGTTATAATTAGACCGTAAACGCTTTTTACAGCTCACCCGCTGTATAGTTGGTTTGCCGGTTTGACACGATCAAACTGATTAAAGTAGCAATTCCAGAGATGGAGAATCATTAATATTCAGGGCGAAATTGAAGTCGCCGCTTGATCAACGAATATGTCTCATTTAGGGTTCATCCAGCCGAGTCAGGTTACCTATGTGCACACAATTAAAGTAACTAGAGGTGCCGTACTGCAACCCTAGTTAGATCGCGCCATTTTTAGTTCGACATCTTACATCAACTTCTTTAGTGCTCAACATGATCTTGAGCAGGAATCGTATTCGATAGCAGAAGCAGACAATTTTGTCAGATTCGAAACTCCGATTACAACCGAACACTACAACTCTGATTGCAGTTCACTGATGGATCTCGTCTTGACAACTTATTCTCCAGAGCAGTGCATACTACTCACAAGTGGTCAAAAATGCTTCCAGTGATTTCCTTATCTGGTTTCACCCCAAGTTTTGTCATCTACGTCTTTCCGCAAGCTCTGCGATCCAATCCACGAGCGTGTGGTGACATTTGGATAGTACAGAATAGTGCTTCAAGGTAGCGCGTAGCCAAGCCGGCCTACTTGAATTGGCCCATTTCAATTGATGATCCGGCAGAACCGTCTTGCCGGGCGGAAATCCTGAAAACCTCAGGCTGATATAAGCTGTTAATAAATTGCGGTACCTGACGATCTGTTGTAAGCGACAAGAAAATCGTTTAGGTGAATGAACTCTGCAGATACTGGATTTGCTCCGACGCAACTTGATTCAATGGCTCCATATGGTGCACGGTCGAGTGCAAACACCGCAAGTATCAAGCTAGGCTACCAGTAGAAATTATTGTGGGAAGGCAGCTCATCAAATCTACGTACCCTCGGCGTCGTGGATTTGTTGTGGTAGATGAGCAAACAGATGTTCTGTGCTTCTCACCACAAAGCTAGTCTAATGCCAATCGGTCTGCAAAAAAACGGATTTCGATGGATGAGCAACAAAAGACGTCACACAAATGCTGAATTTGTACATCCTGTTATAATATGATATTATGGAGTGGAAGACAACCCTGCATGCCTCAGTAGTTCAAATGCTGAATTTGTACATCCTGTTATAATATGATATTATGGAGTGGAAGACAACCCTGCATGCCTCAGTAGTTCAAATGCTGAATTTGTACATCCTGTTATAATATGATATTATGGAGTGGAAGACAACCCTGCATGCCTCAGTAGTTCAAATGCTGAATTTGTACATCCTGTTATAATATGATATTATGGAGTAGAAGACAACCCTGCATGCCTCAGTAGTTCAAATGGAACCTGCAAATAACTCCGGTCCAGACATTCTGGCCTTAGTAATTCTCAGTAGATTTGTACCTTTTTGGAAAAGACTTTGCGTTTCACACCAGGACCCATTCCCGGTAGTTGGGTTTGTTTCTTTCCCGACACTGCAACACCTCCCGCATCTGGTGGAGAGGCGCCGAGTCCATGTCCTTCCCGATAATCGTCTTGATCGTCATAAGCATCTACAAATTGAAAATAGATCAGTGTCGATATTAGTTTGGATTCTGCAACTTCCGTGAATCGCCATTCTAGCTTCAGTCACCTAGCGCATTTCACACAGAACGTGAGCAAATCATCATCATCATCAACATCATCGGCAGCATGACAAGGGTGTTCGACACCAATGCTTCTTTCCCATACCAGCACGACTTATTTGAAAGCCGCATTGTAAAGAAAAGAGTAGAGATGGAAGGGGGAGGGATTTAGTGCTAGCTCACCACGGTCATTCCGAGGTGCGTATACCTCCAAACGCTCACACAAGCAATCTGNGACAGCACCCAAGCGTTTCGTGATTTCCTTCATACTCCTGTGCCAAGTCAAGGGTTGGCCACCTCTCTGTTTACACCACTCTGAATTGGGCATGGAAAACAGCACTCTCTTCCACAAACGATGGTTTGGCATATGCAACACGCGTCCGAACCAACGCAGCTCCTGGTCCTGGACACACTGCTCAATGGAAGTACCCGTTGCACAGCCAAAAACGCACTTTCTAACTGCCTCGTTACGGATTCACCGACACCAACCCACACGAGCTATGGTTCTGAGACAACGATTGTCGAACACCTGAAGACGTCTCAGTTCCGCTGCTCGAATAGGCCAAGTCTCACAGCCATACAACAAAACAGCCCGTACTGTAGCTTGATACACACGTCCCTTCAGATTCAGGGATAAACCATTCTGACGCCATAGGTGTCATAAATAACGTGGAACAGGAATGAAGTAGATGGGAGAATGATCTCAGACAACGTACCAGGTCCGAAGTCGATCGGCGGAGAAGACTCAGGCTGCACTTGTCGACTGCCTGCCATCACTGGACCCCGTCGATCACTGAAATACGATAAAATGTGGTTCAGAATATGTGTTCACACTGAACAAGTCTGTGTCTGGGAGCGCATAAATTTGTGCAATAAGCAGCTGACTGACTTACTCAGCCGAACCGTACAGGAGACTGCGTGGTCTACCTCGATCAGCATCCGAGGCTGGAAAGTTGAAAGAAGGTTGACGTTTAACGAATGATCACTCAAACAAAACGGCCTGCAAAGTAGCTGGGGTGTTTTTTTGTAATGCGCTACTCATAAGGTTGCTGAAAACTCCTGGAGAGCCCACGATTAGTGTCGCCCTTCTTGGAGCTCATCAGTTAGGCGCAGTCCCCCAGTTTCCGTCAACCTTATGTTCTGCTTGAAACCAGATTGCACGAAATTAGCGAATATACACTCATTTACAAAGTAATTTGGTTTTGGTTGATGGAAACTTGGGGACTTCGCCTACCAGATGAGCCCCAAATAAGGCAAAACCGATCGTATGCTGTCGAGAAGTTTTCAGCAACCATATGAGTAGTGCATTACAAAAATATACATGTATCACGATATCTCGAATCTCGTAGCGACTGAAACATGAGGCGTCCTGGTGCAGCACATTCAGTTGCCTGAGAACATCATAAACGAGAGATTCAGCTGGGTTCCAGGTGAGTCTCTCGAAAGAACCAAATTAGTTTGCAAATGAGTGTATATTGGCTAGCTAGGGGGTTATTGTAACTCTGATGTCCTTACCAACTGTACCAATCAGTATAACACATGGACCAACGGTGAACACAAGGACTGGAACTCGAGTTCTCAGAAAGCAAGTTTACCGTGCTATCCACGGGGCTTGTCGGGTGCATAGATTGCTGCCTAAGTAGGAAGGGTTTTCCATCCCATGAATAGAACAAATGTTGATATTTTGAAAAAGCCTTGGATGCAGATTGTTCTGGTTCGTATATCCTCTCTATAAAACAAAATTTGTTAGCCCACTAAAATTCGAAAAAGTAAAGACATTCGGTTCGAAGGCACTCTATCCGGTCATTTCACTTTACGCTCAGCGTGCTTTTGCTAACTGGAACACGTGCCAACAACTAACTTGCTTCGTTCAAAAGTTGGAGATATGGCCGACAGAGAGTTGCGGAGTATTTGCAGAAGGGCCGCGAAGCTTTTGCCGAGATCGCCATAATTTCTTACAATACACAGCGTTTTTAGTCAACAAAATATGATTCAAAAACTGGACATACAAGCTACTTGATGTGGGCAGCCTGGTAGAATGTCACTCTGTATTTCCTATTGCAGCGACTGTTCTTACTCGAGGGTATGACTAGTTTTATTCGAGTTTATCATCAAAATTGTGTAGGCAAGCCAAATTTGAATTTTTCAAACTGCCTTAGCTTTGGAGGGTAGCCGTACATACGGAGATGTAGACTGAGCAGCTCCGACGATGATGTTCCTCAAACTGAGGTAATGAATGATATCTGTGAGGTACAAGCTGAAAGCATCGAACGTCGAACCATGACAAACATATGCATATCCTGATAGTATGTAAAGTGATTCCCTAAATTTCGAAAACTTTTCTCTGGTAGCCATTCCAAACAGGCTTTTGGAGACGAGTCTAACGGTTTCTTCATTTAGTTTAATTTAAAAGTGGCACATCATCCCGTAAATACAATTTGATCAAGTAATTTCCTGAAATTTGAACACTGTAAATTATTTTACTTTGGAGAGTTTTCGAAGAGTTTGCAGCAACCCTATTAGTAGGATAACACGTAGAAACACCATAGATAGTCTCTGTGATTACGGTTGTGGTTTTAAACAGTTGTAAGCAACTGTCCACTTGAATGGCGAGGACGTTATACCTCCATCCAGTCAGGTCAACAAGCAAGCATAGTGTGGAATGGTGCTAAATGATACGACGTTACTCGGGTATTGCAAGCGAACAGCGCAATGCAAAGCCGGACGGTGTGATGCATTGACCTGTGTTTTAAAGAAATTTAATGGGATGATTGAAAAACAGAGGACCTACAGTTTAGCCAGCCGAACCAGTTACGAGGCACGATATGGATGTTGGCCTTTAACTGAGTCACAACCTTGACCAACGAAAGAATTCCTCGAATGGCGATTTAGCAAAGGTACTAATTGACCGAGCGGAAGCGAGGGAGGTCACAGACCGGTGGACGCATTTAAATGAAAAAGGGGTGACATAAAACAGGTTAAAACAATGACCAAACTTTCGGGTTCTGGTCTGTGGAAAATACAAAATTTAGTCCTGCCTACGCTCCAATTTTATGTAGCAACTCTCAAAATTGTGCGACTCATGTTGTCTATCCGAGCTTTTTCGCCGATGCCTTATTGTGGTGAGACATCAAATTACTCCCCATATCTTGTCAACTGACCCCAGACGTGGATACGTTGCGCCTATCTGATGAGCCCCAAGAAGGGCGAAACCGGTCGTGGGCTGTCAGAGAGTTTTCAGCAACCTTGTGAGTAGTTTCCTCTTATGAAGTTGCAATATCCTTCTCAAATCAGGCATGCAACTTTCAGGCGAAAACGTCTGGCTCACTTTGTTGGGGGCAGCGGACCATCTGTCCGTTAGTGTTACTCTGAGCCGAGCAGTGACAAGCGAGTGGAAAAGTTAATGGGTCCGTTTTGACATGGCCCAATGACAGTAGTACAAACGTTTGAACTGTCTGGCTTGACAGTATAAATGCCTATTCTCAACTAAGAGATCACCCGAGCAATACACAAGGACACACTGCTTCAGGCATTGTTCGAACATCCAACCAAAATCCATATGCATAGAAATTGAGGCAGCGTGTCTTCTGGCGTTTGATCACTACATATCCAAATTTGCGCAGCCCAGTAGAAAGATATCATACTTTGGATGGATGGGACATTCAGCCATACGAGGGTGTCGTCCGCCAAGCTGTGAATACTAACACAAAAACGACAAATGTTCGGGTTATTTGAACTAACCCGTTGCGCGTGAATCAATCACAACGCGAAAAAAACTTACAAGACTTTATATGGGGTGGTATAGCCGCACCTGGGTTGGCTGGTAGATCCGCTCCAGTCTGGGGTGCCAGGTGGGGGGCATTGGTGCTATGAATCTGCTCCAACTTTGCCGGACTGGGAATGAAACCTAAGGGACTGCCAATTCGAACCAAACGTCCAATCCACCAATGAGGATCGAATCGTTTCTTTATATGAAGAAAATCTCTTGGTTCAAAAGAGATGACCCTTGTGGGAGCTGGGGCATCGGCGCCGTAGAATACACCATCGAAGCTGATATTGGTCCGGACAGCGAAAGCCACAGGTTTGTACTTTGAACGATTGGAAGAACTGTATCAATCAACACTGTTTTAAAAAAACTGAGGTATCAAAAGATACGAACATTCCCGCATTCAAAAGATACAACTAAGTAATTTCTGTGTGAGCTAATGGAATAGTTCTGAACCTGGTGCAAAGTATGTTAAACGGCCGGAAGTCGAAACGCGAATCCCAAAGGACTTGGAATATTATTGAGCTCGAAATTAGTTGAACAGCTTATTCACGTCAGAATAGGATGATACTTGCTCAACAGCGCTTGATAGCTCAAAACGGTTCCGTGGTCAAGTTGCAAACGTATTGACCGTGGCTCGAATCCAACCTCTGCATCTCGACTGCTTCTGTCTTCACTGCTTGCTTCAATTGTTTTTCACTCCGATCATGATCAATTTTCTTGTGCTAAAATTTACAATTTGACCTCTACTCAGCCACCCAAGAAAGGCATTTTAAATCTATTTAGCCACAGGACAGCTTCCCCATGTCTAAGATATGTTCGGTGAGTTCGGTTTTCTCGAACACTCAGAGACACATATCTCAACAGACGGTGGTGAACAAACGTTTACCGCTCCACCAGGTTCCGTTATCCCATCAGACGATTTGAAGAGACTGAACAAAAAATGAGGTAGTCACATGATTTTGAGTAGAAAAATGGACAAATGGATTCACCGACATACCTTGGCAGCTTCGAGCTCACGCTCTGCGATCTCTTCGAGCTGAGCTCTTTCCGCCTGGAGAATGAGATCGAATTCCTCGCTTTCTCCGCTTTCGCTCGACCGACGCGAACTCTGGTTTTGTTGAGAAGAATATCGACGTGAGCTAGCAGGTGGGGATAGGACTACCTAAGAAACTGCATTCAGGTTATCAGACGTGCATCGAACAGGCAAATCAATCAATAATCCCATGCAATCATGCCGGAAAGCTACAAGGGGCGGCTGGCAGACATACAATAAGTACTCACAGGTCTGGAGCCAAGGGAGAAAATAACAGGTGAACAGAGGAAATTAACTGGATGAGCACACCTTCTGATAAAATCATCATATCACATGGATTTTGAAATACCTATCATGAAATTTGCATTTCAAGGGTAAGATTTCATTAGCTGTTAGTAAACTCAAGCGCCTTATTCGTCTGTGATAACAGGACGTAATATAGGCTTGCCACAAGCTTCTGCCGGAATCACGAGTGTACCCGGTCACTTTTACTCATGTATCGTCCATTACTCTGACATTTGAAATTCCCCATATTTATTCTGTCCCTATTAGTAACCCGCGCTCCACTTTTGTGTTTAGTGCGTATATATGAACTGGTGTTTGTTTGTCCTTACCACTTCACTCATTTGGCCTTGAGGTCATCCAGCCATTTGTGGTCGACTTTACGCACGTGTGACCTGTCTCACGTGGGAGCCTGTTTTGTTTGCTCATTCGCACTTTTGTAGTCCAAATGAAGCATTTGTTTTGGCGAGTATCTACTGTCGAGGTTTGTATAAATTATGAATTTGTCTTACATTAATAATGCCGTTTAGAAACCCAGCTCCGACTTTGTTTTGCCTTCCCGGAGGTTTTGATATTTCGCGTCACTCATTACTACTCAATTTAGCCAGGAGGAACAGATATTCCACGACAGATCTCTTGTACAACTTTTGAAAACGCTCCTCATTTCTAGGATCGCTTCAGTAATGTCTGATTGTCGGGCCCGCCCAGGTTGCGACCTTTTTTCCTGACTTCATTCGGCGGTCGTGAGAAAGTGTACACCAGTGGACCACGAACCACCGTTTGACCGGGTCAATTAAATATCGAAGAAATTCTCTATCATTGTCAGCTAACTTATCACACAAAAGATTTGGTGTGCAAGTGTCTGTTCATGAAATCTCGCCTCAGCAAAACCTGATTTACACTCCCACTATAAACCACTTATCGGTGAAGTGAACTGACACGGCAATATTCTAGATTCACTGACGAATTCGGCGTCGCTTAACGGTGCTTCTGTAGTCGTCTGCTTTCTCTCTGATTGTTGGAGTATGATGCGCATCAGCATCGGGATATCACTGTCTGATGCACACATCAATCTTGTTTGAACTCGTCATGATCTGCATGGCTGTGAATCTGATGTTCCCGTGAAAGCATTAGTTAGTCACGCTTGTGACACAACATCTATTTGCTCAAGTGAGGTGGCAAGACTGGAGGGGGTGGTTAACAATACAGCAGATGAAACAGCTACATAATACGTCTCAAAAGGGACACGTAAAAACATCTGATAAAATCGTTCAACTTTTAGCAACCCACTATTAGTACCCACATGTAGGTCATCCTGATCCAAACTCTTTACTGGCAAGCCAGATGATTTGATCACTGATCTCGGAGGTTCGGATTATAGACAATCTGCGCCTGTTCTAAAGATATAACAAATTCTTTTGACCTTTATCCCAAATTTAAAAAGTCCATTTTCGGAGGGATTAACGTGAAAATTATTAAACACTTCAAAACACATAGCAAGCTCTGTTGGAGACAAAAAACACTGACGTTAATTTTGAATAAGGTTCCGTTTCGGACAGAAATTTTAACTTTGGTAAACAAAAGGATAACTGAGTAACATTGGCGATTGTCGTTGTTCATGCGATTTCAAACAGCAGGAACGAAGAAAAAAGGACTTCAACCGATTCACTTCTTGACGGTTGACTAGACTTGGAGCGCGCTGTCGAATTTAATGTTTTAATTGTAGTCTTCACTTGAAGAAAGACGCACAAAGTTCCGTTCAGAAACTTTGGATACTTGTAAATTGTAAAAACTTTAAAACCTCGATTCGGCGACTGATCCGTTTTCGCTGGTAAAATCCATACAAATGTGTTACCCTCTAGCACGTACGTCTAGATTTCAAGTGCTTCTCGCTCTATGAATTAGAAGAGCTACCTCTGCCATCTGTGTAACGGCGGATACTACTGATGAGCATGCGAGTAGTATGCAGCTGCTTACGACATTCGTAAACACGAATTGTCCATTTCGTACCATGCACATCTTTAAATCATTTGTGCACAACAGTCGTCGCTTGACACCCTTCTGGCTGAAAGAGAGTACCCAATGAAACACAGCAACGATGCATAAAAAAACAAAGAGAAATAGTTCATCGTTATTCGTTCATAAGTGCAGCATAGAGACAGACAAAACCAGGCACAGAGCTTAAAGAAAACACTCAGAAGGGAATTCAAGCACCCAGGAACTTGTGGCCATTCTGCAATGAGCCACTTGTAATGGCATAGCACATGACCTTGAGGTTACAAAATGACTTCGTTTCATCGCACTACTCTGTAATATACTCTAATGAAACTGACGCGCATCCGTGGAACTAAACATCACACACAGAGCATAAGATCCGATCAATGCTGAGAAAAACTGTATATCGAAATCCGACAATCCAGATTTGTCACCCAGACGAACAGAATCATTGAAGTTAGTGTGATACGATGAAGGTTTTGTACTTCAAGCCGTTGTGTCACATGAGTACGGTCTGCAGATGACGGCCAGTAGCAGCACCTGTGTTTTATTGCTAACGAGGAAAGACAAGTAGGTGGCAACCATTCAGGGCAAATCGTATGCACAAGAAATTGAGGTGTACGTGTAAAGCAGACACACACGTAGTGTAAAAAGACAAAGAGTGGACTTGGAAAAAAACAGACATTAAGAGGGAATGGAACCCACATATTGAGCTCAGAAGATTGGCTCTAAAAATGAACTTTGAGAGCAGCAGATGAACAAGATGAGAAGCCACTGGGGTTGTATAAATAGATATTACTGTCTATAAATGCACATCGTGGCTATTCAGGCAGCACTCTGGAAGACACATACTCACTTCAGAGCCCAATGTGTGGGATAAGTCTCTAAGGACGGTCTTAAAACGCTTGCAAACGTTCAAGTCATTTTACCAAAAAAAAATCCAGTGTTTCCCTTTCGGAAAAAAGCGGGTAAACTAAGTTTAAAGTAAACGGTAAAGTTTTGGACGAGTTATTCAGTGTAATTTGAATGCCTCAGAACAGAACGGTGCATGAGGGCACACATTTTTGCGTACAAAATCCACACACCTCAAAACATTTACCATGGTCACGACCAACAAATTAAATTGTGTGTGGGCTCGCTTACAACAAACTGCTGACACTGCACAACAGCCTAGTCAAGTGGCAAAGTCGATAGTAAAATGGAGAGGAGATGTACATACGACCAGACCGGTATTTTGTGGCAAGGCTACCCTCAACTGCACATCACGTTTAACAAGCAAATAACCGGAGCTCATGGCCTCATGCCAACCTAAGCCGAACCTAAATGAGCCAGATTGCTTTGGAACGATGAAAACTCCTACATACTCAAATCTACCGACATGTAGCGTTTGACCGTCCTTTATCGTATGCGTCAGCCGATTCTGCATAAGACAGCTACTCAGGTCACGTGATCTTGAGACTCTGACATCATGCTCTACTGGTGATCTCCAACAAGAATGAAACAGCCACACAGTGATTACCATTTCACAACAAGCTGATTTCACCTTCGGGATAAGATTGTTATTGAACCTTCGTTTGTTCCTGTTGTATCGTGGGTGGCCGTTTACGGGTTATGCCTGCACTGAGCCTGCCAGACTACGCGATAGGGAGAAGACAGAGAACTGGAGACACGGTTGTACTGCCAGGACAAAACATAGAGCATCTGCGTCAATATATAGGATGACTAAATGACCAAAGATGGTCGTTCACTTGTTCCCTCTGTACAGTCAGTGGCGGTGTTCCGGTCTTGAACACTTTCAGACCCACTACGCTGGTCGTATGTTGCTGAGCCGTGTTTGGTGAAAGCCGCCAACTCACTCACTTTCCGGACATGTCGAACCGATGGTGATCTTGGGGATGCGTCAATCTCTGCACATGTGCTTTTTCTTGTGTCTGGGCGCGCCCTGACAGTTCCTCACACTATCGTCTACACCCTACCCTGAGTTGGCCGTTTGTACGACTCATAAGTTTAGACTTGACCAACTGTTTTACACACAGTCAGTTTTTATACCACATTTGTACATACCGAGTCTGATGAAGAGGTGTCGAATGGGTAATCTTCGTTTGGTTTTTTGTTCACCGTGAGAACATTTCCAACGTCTCGACAAACAGAGAGTCGTTGCCAATTTAAAGGGTTCCATCTGGCCTCCGTGGACCCCGTTGTCTTTTGCATACAACCCCCGGACGAGAATCACAGATAGGACTACTTTTGTGTGCGTACGCATCACAGTAAGTAGATCTGGGAACATGTTGCCATATTACATTTGAACAGCTTTGCTGGAATGCCTGATATGAAAATCGAACTTTACTTCCTGACCGAAAATTTGTCATCCATAACATGAAACAAGGTCCATAGGACACACGGAAGAGCATGAGTGTCAAAGGATCAAAATATCATATCAGTCGAACTAAAAACCGCTAGTCCAGCGGTCGGTGTCATCCAGTTACCCAAAACATTGAAATCCCCGATAGGAGGAAGCCCCATTGAATTCGGATTTTCATGAAAAATAGTATTCTTCTCCCCAACTGACATTCTGTGCGGTAGAAGGTGCTTATGCTTCTAAAAACAAGGAAACATTATACCTATTTCTGGACATTCTGCTTCTTATGTTCCTATTTTTGAGTTTTCTGCCGACTGGACGGACCTAGTGGGAACATAAGATGCTGAGATGGGCCGAATGGTTTTTGGGAAAGGCAGTTCTCTTCGGTTGGTCAGTTTGTAACGCTCAGATTAGGTTGCGAATTCCACGTACTGTCAGATGGTTGCTTGTTTCACACAACCCCCTTGTTCGTTCGGCCAGGTATTGGGGCAAC